GTTTAAAAAAAAAAAAAAAAAAGTAAAGCTGCAAAGAGTACTAAATATGGCTGGCTGTGGTGACTACACAATAATACAAACACCACCGAATGCACATTCTGGAAAGAGACCCAGGCATGGTGGTGCACACCTGTAATCCTAACTACTCAGAAGGCTGAAGCAAGAGGTTCCCAAGTTCAAGTTCTGCCCAGGCAACTTAGGGAGACCCTGTCTCAAAAAATAAAAAAGAGCTAGGGATGAAGCTCAGTGGCAGAATACCCTTCAATGACATCTCCACACCAAAAAAAAAGAAAAACAAAAACAAAATTAAAGTGATATATTTCATTTTACATCTGTTTTACCACATTAAAAAAAATTAGCAGGCTGGGGATTTAGCTCAGTGGTTCACCTGCCTCACAAGTGCAAGGTTCTGAGGTTCGATCCCTGATACCAAAAAAAAAATAGCATGCTGTTGCAAATCCTTAGGCTTGCTAGTCCAAAAACTAGCTAAGAAATCCCAAACACAAAGCCAGGCACGGTGGCATGCACCTGTAGTCCCAACTACTTTGGAGGCTGAGGTGGGGGCTTACTTGACCCCAAGAGGTCAGGGCCAGCCTGGGCAACAACAGTGTAAGTCTCTGTCTCTTAAAGAAAAGGAAAAAAAAGGGAGAGAAGGAATTCCAGTGAGAAAATAATGGCTAGTTTCACTACTGATAATTTTACAAATACTTTTAAAATATATTTTTTTAAAAAATTATGATCTTAGCAGATAACACCCTCTAACTAGCCCGAAACCTAGTCCCTCAGCAACACAGGACTATTTCAACCTCAACCAGCATTTGTGTAACTGTCACCAGTGGCAGGCACGAAGGTATAGTACCTGCAAGGCCACCTCACATGCATAGCTGTGCACACACAGAAAACAAGCTGAGGCCCTGTACATAAAAGCCAGGCCACGGCAGTTATTACTTCAAAGAATTTGCCTTCAGACATTCAAAAAGCTTCCAGCCTTGTTCTGACTGGCCGAGGAATAACTGGCAGCCAAGGCTGGCCATTCCGGGCATGACCAAGGAAACCAACAAGAGGCAACATGGTGAGCAGCGTAGCTCCTCAGCAGGGGGAACTTCCTCCACTCACATCTGCCTGGCTCTCAGATGCCAGGAGATGACAAGTCGCCCACTTGAAACAGCAATGTCTGAGGCCCTGGGGGATTCTACCAGGTGCTTCTGAAACAAGGGCTTGAGCACCACACCTAGGATCCCAGCTAGCATGAAGATGGAAGAGCTCCTGATGAAATGCTGACAAGTTACAGACATCCTACCCAGTGCTCTTGGAAGCTGGAGCCACCCCTGACCCAAGATCTGAAATGAGGTAACAGCGGAGAGCAGAAGGAACAGTGTTAATTCTCTGAGGGTGAGACTTCCGAAAGGGGCAACTCTAACCTTGTGGCCCAGAACCAGGCATTGTCTTGTCCGCCAAAGAAACATTTGGCCCTCTGGAGGAGGGCCTGACTCCCGAGGGCACTGAGAGCCCATGACAGCAAAGGGCAGACTCACTGTGGGTGCATCTTGTAAAGAGAGCCGTCAACACCAACCGTGGTCCTCAGCCTGGGTGTGCCCTTGTTATCACGCAGGCGGGTCAAGATGGCACCCAACGTGGCAGCCACCAGGTTAGCTGAGCGAAAGGAGACAATGGTGCACACATGCTGGACTGCAATACAGTCATCGTCAGAGGGTTCCACTCCCAGGCGGGTCAGGATTTCTTTGGCATTGTGGAGGCCTTCCTTGTTCCTGTGAGGTCAGAGGTCAATACTAAGTTAAGGGGTACAAATTGCTGAGGTACAGGGAAGGCAGCACCCAACTCTCCAGTAGTGTTCACATGGGATTTGGACTGCTGAGAGCCTAAGAAGGGGGCTAACACTAAAAGGAAGACAAATGTATAGCATTTTTCAATCCTACTGACCACAGACCATCCAGTTATCATCTTGAAGTCTCTAGGATTCTCTGGAAATTAGTCTGGAGAAGGGCAGGGTACACCAGAGGGAATTCCAAGAACCCACCCTGCACTTGGTCAGCTCCTCGCTCTTCATAAGAACGAGCTGCTTCCTGGGCTCTAATCCTATGTGTGTGCATGCGTGAGTGTATGGGGGGGCAGGACAGCAAGCTGCTTTTGGAACTAGGCAGGAAGATTATCCATGAAGCAGCAGCTGCTAATGTGGTTGTTCTTTAATGACTCACCACAGGAGCCTGTGAGGACAGCAGCCAGGATGGGTCAACTACAAGAAGGTGGAGATGGACCCAGAAGCCCTGACATTTAGACCCGAGAAGTAACAATGGTCTTGTCTCCCTCCTCCCCTGGAGTGGTACCTACCTTTCAATGGCTGACACGTCACTGGTTTCAAACTTCCCTCTGGTGAGCAGCTCCGGGGTGATCCGCCCTTCAAACAGGAGACCTTCCTTGGCCATCTTGACCAGGATCAGCCGCACCAGCTCTCCCAGGTACATGCCACTGACCATTTTCTCAAAGCTGCAGAAGTCAAGTCAGGCACAGGCACCTATCAGCCTGTTCTCTGCACCAACACTGGGGCCACATGCAGAGAGGGCAGAAGGCCCCATCTAATCCTCCCGAGCTCCCAGGATCATTGACAGGCAAGACCACGCCCTTGAGTGACTCCACAATGAGGGGACAGGGAAGGCAACTCCAGAGTGAGCAGGTTATCCAGCTCCACCACACATGCTGCACAACACATGCCTGCAGGTCGGGAACACAGGGCTCTAGACTGGCTATTATGGACGAGAAGGCTCCGACAAGCAAGCATTAGGTAAATATCTGTTATGTAACTGCACGGTATGCTTGTACAGGGTCTTCCTCGCCATCACTCCACCAGGGGGTCTCCCGGGGAAGTATTCTCCCCACATCCCAGCTTAGAAAGGGGAAATTTCTAGGTGGAGAGGCCACCATCAAGACATCTGAGAACCCACTCCTTTCCTGCTGACCTCACCCTGAACTCCAGGGAAGCACCTGACCAGATGAAGGCCAATCAGCTCATCCCACTGCTGGGAACAGGCCAACCCCAGAGTGATCCCACTCTCTCGCCTGCCCTTGCAAGTGTGGCATGAGATATGGCTCCGGAACTGCAGCTGCTACTTTACTTCCAGTGCTGCAGGGGACAGGTGGCTGTGGGGGACCTAAGAAGGAAGCCCAAGCACTCGGGGGAAGGCCCAGCCCAGGGCATCAGACTGGGCCTCAATGCTGTATCTGTGGCAGATTCAGTCCAGGTCCTGGTGACCGTGGGCTACATGAACTCCAAACAGGTCAGATCAAAGATGCACAGCCGGCCTCTCCTCTGACGGAACCCGCTGGCATCCCCAGAGCTGGCGGTGACACAGCAAAATATTTGTTCCCCTCAGAGCCAGCCCGGGAGCCAAGGATGCTGCTGGGACCAGAGTACCAGTCCTCGCCTGTCCACCAGGCCTGGAGCCTCCTTAGAACACAGTCCGCATTGTTCTGCTCCTGGCACACCAGACAGGACCGTCCAGCCACTGCTACGAAAAGGATCCCTGGCAGGAGAACACCCTGGGTCCCAGCTGCCCAGTGGCCGCCTGAGGCCTGTGGGGACAGCCCCTGCAGAGCCTGCACTGGAACCTCTGAGTGGGAAGAAAGGGGCATGGCTTCACTGCCGCGCTCGCCCATCTGTGCCAAGATAGGGCACTTGTCTCTCTGGACCTCAGTGCCCTTCCCTGTGCGTGCCATGGGGATAAATGATGACACAGCCTCCCTACAAGACTGTACCAAGGGCACGGGTTACTATTGGTCAAACACGAAGGTGCCTATCTGATAATGAGTTCTTACCCCGCTTCCTACGTGCCTAGCACTTTCCTAAGGACTTCACATATACTTATTTTATCCTCATTACAACGCTAGGAGGAAGACATTCACATATTTCACAGGTAAGGAACCTGAGGCACACAAAAGTTACACACGTTGGCTTGGACAGAGCCGATAGGTGGCAAACCACATTCTGAGCCCAGTTAAATGGACCACCAGAGGCCACGCTCTGACCACAGTGCTGTCTCAAGTCTCAGGGACACTGTCATTCAGTGTCACCTAGGCTGTCTTGACAGTGGCCACCCAGCCCTCCTAACTCAGCCCCTATGCTCGTCCTCCAGCTCGCTTCTTTCCTAGGCAGCCTGTCCCTTGGCTGGGCAGTGTGACAACAGGAAAGGATGAGCTAACGTCCCTGCCTTCTAGACATACCCAGAATGATCTGCTCCCTTTTCTACACCATAATCTTTCACTCTACAGACACAAACGCATCCTTTTCCAGAGAAAGCAGACCTAGGCTGGGGTTCTGCCCTTTTCCAGTCTCTAGGACCCCTGCTGAGCAGCAGCATAAGCCACAGTGCCTCTGAGGAACTCTGCCCTAGCCAGAGATACACACAATAGGCTCCCTCTCCACTGCATGCTTCCTTCTTCCCATGTGAGACCTGCAGATGGGTGCTTTTGACCACAGACCAGCAGCACGAGAAGCACCGTGGTGTTTCAGCCACTGGGCTGCCAGAAAGAGCCGAGACAGGAAAGGGTCGTCAGCAAGGACTGGCATGCCAATTAGGAGTTCCCTTGACAGCCCGGTCAGCTCCAGCTGGCAGACCAGGAAGAGAAAAGGACAGCAAAACCTATGGCCAAATACCCAGGATGAGAAGAGCCTGGAGGTTCTATGGAGAGGGCAGAGCAACAGGAAGAAAAGGGGCCTGAGAACTAACTCAAAAAGCTATGCAGTTACTCCACCACCATCCATGCCAAAGGATTCCCTTTACCCACTACGCCTGCGGCCGAGGTCACTGCTGTTGCTATTGTATGGAGGTTAAGTTTCTCCTTTCTTTTTGTTGTTGTTTTTCTGAGCCAAGGTCTTGCTATGTAGTCCAGGTTGGTCTTGAATTTAATATGCAGCCCAGGTTGGTCTTGAACTTGCAGTGATCCTCCTGCCTTAGCCTCCCAAGTATGAGTGCTAGGATTACAGGTGCAGGCACCATACCTAGCCTACCCTTGCATTTTGAAGGATGCGATAAAGAATCACAGGGAAGGGCTGGGGATTTAGCTCAGTGGTTCTGGTGCCTGCCTCCAAAGCACAAGGACCCGAGTTCAATCCCCAGTACCACAGAAAAAATAAAAAAAAAAAAAAAAAAAAAAAAAAAAAAAAGAATTACAGAGAAATGGGATATGATAGTCCAGACAGAGCATAGAAAACAAAAGAGCAAGAGACTAAAAAAAAAAAAGATAACAAGATCCCAACAATGACTGTAACTCTACTGTATCCCTAAAATGTACCAATAAACTCAATTAAAGCTGAAAAAAAAAGGGGAAAAAAGATAGAAGGGAAGGAGAAGAAGAATGAAAAATAGAAGGAGGAACCAAAAGCCACCATCGGACACAGGTACATAAAAAGAATAGCAAAATCCTAGAATTTAAGGGTGGTAGGAAGTCAAACATCTGATTCCCACTTAGAGAAAGACCAACCATGCCTAGCTCTGGGGCAAGCCTGGGGATCCTGAATACTCAGTATGGTGTCCTTGCTGCCTCCACAATTACCAAGGAAAGCAGCAATTGCCAAGGAAGACAACAGCCACGCATCTGCTGTCAACGCAGTAGGCACTCAGTAAATGCCAATCTCAAACACAATGAATGAGCGGGTGTTAGTGGTCTAGAGTCCACGCAGGCACAGGAAGCCTTTGTACATACATAAGACACCTAAGTTTCCAGCCCTAGTTAAAAATCAGAATCAAGGGCCGGGGATTTAGCTCAGTGGTTCCGCCACCTGCCTGCCTTGCAAGTGCAAGGACCTGACTTCGATGCCCGGTACCAAAAAAAAAAATCAGAATCACCAGAGAGCTTCTAGGACAGCACAGCCCAGGCCAAGCGAATCAGGACCGGGAAGCTCAGTGGAGTGGTGAGGGGCTGCCTGGGCACTGGTATTCTTTTAAAGGCCCTATGTAATTCAGATATGGACCCCAAGTGAAAAGTCATTCCCCTAGGCTGCCCTGAGGGTTCTGTCCATAACTGAGAAGAGAAGCCCCTTGGAGAGTCTAAACACTAGGAAAACCCCAGACTCTCAAACAAGCTAGAAAACCTCAAGCCTAATCAGATTCAGCCTCAACAAAGAGTCTCAGGTCATCTTTGCTCTTTCCCAGTGCCTTGGTTTTCCCATCAGTCAAACAGAATAAGCACCTTTCCTTAACATACAGAGGACAAAATGGCTTGGAAGAACTTAGCATTCAATGGAAGACAAGAGTAGGGAAAAGGCAACACTGTAATCAAGCACATTTTTTGGGTTTTTAGTGAAACATACACAGGGATTGTAAATAGCTCAGGTTGTGGGACTGCATAACTTTGTAATCTTAAATTCCTAGTCTCAACTGTGATTAATGCAAATTAACAGGTAAACATTTAGTAGTTCTGGGTGAATAGATAAGATTGTTTCACTCCTTGTCTGCCCGGAAGGAATGTTTTGAAAACCTTGGGACATTCTGTAAGCATCTGTTAACCATCAACACGTGACTGCCAGAGTGTCTGACTATGTGCTTTGAGTATAGACCCCCTGGCCAGACTAATAAGGGTCTGTTTTCCAACTAGTCCAGTGTGTTCCTTCCTGGGTGATTCTCGTGGCTGTTTAGCTCTTCAGAGCGGTTGGAAAGGTCTTTTGATGTTACTGGTTTAGCTCCTTGGAGTGGTAGTAAGGCCCTTGGTCTTACATTTTGGAGGACCTCAGTGGCTGTTGAGCTCCTTGGAGCAGTAGTAAGGCCTTACGATGTGCCCTTCCTCACCATCGGCAGCAGTGCTAGTGACCCCAGCACAGAGAAATATTTTACACAAATGCTTTTCGGCTTCTAACTTTCAAAAATGTTTTCCAAGGATGCAAGCAGAAGGGAGCTGAATAAACAGAGCATTATTAACAAACTGCTTTTAAAGCTACAGACTCTACAGCTGTGCATCTATCTGGACAAGGGATTAGAAACCTTAACAATCTGATGGGTTTTCGCATTTGTGACTACCTAGCTTTGTGCTGTTTCAGCCCCGTCCCCCCCATCTGTCACCGACGGTCCCCTAAGTCATATATGTGGCTGGAAGAGGAGGTCCAGGACTCACAGCTGCTTCCCCGGGTTGAGGGATCCCCGGTCTATCTCCCTGTCGAACTCCGTCCGGATGTCCTCCAAGGCCCCGTCGTCCCCGAAGGCCCCCCACTCGGTGTTGATGCACATCCTCCCCTCGTCGCCTTCCACCATGTCAATGTGCCTCAGCTCCTCCATGTAGCAAGCGTTGGTGCCGGTGCCTGGGAGAGAACAGGGGAAGCTGTGACCACACAAAGGGAAGGAGGTGGCGCCACCTGGAAACATCACCCGGGGGGCAGGCCCTAGCAGGCGCGCACATTACCGATGATCAGGCCGACTTCACAGTGCTGGTCGTCATAGCCACAGGTCATCATGGTCCCTACGGTGTCATTCACCACAGCTACAACGTTGGCATCATAGTCCTGGGGACAGATACCGAGGTATCAGGGACCACTCCCCATGGGAGTAGAGATGCCAGCCTCAGAGCACTTGGCAGGAGTGACCTGTTCTGTGGGTGCCTGCTTCACAGCTGCCAGGACTCAAGTTAACTGCATTAGAGCGTGGCGACTGAATTATGGAAGTGCACAGGCCCCTTAATGACCTGGCTCAGGGTTCGTTAGGGCGTGGCCTTTACTCACAGAACACATTCCTCCACAAACCTCCCCATGGGACATTTATGTGCCACAAGAAGGCCAGCTCCCTGCCTCTCTTCCAACCTCAGCAGGCTCTGTCTGGGACAGGGGCTCCCCCAAAGCCAGAAGGATCCCTGCTCAAGGCTGTGGATCCTCATCTCTCCCCTACCAGGGTCTTCAGACTCCCAGAAAGGGCTTCAATCTAATAGGACTTGGCTCCCCACCCCATATTCCCATCCCTACACACACACACACACACACACACACACACACACACACGGCCCAGAGAGATTACCCCTCGCCGCTTGATGGCTTTGTTCAGCAGCTTGACCACATCCGCCCCTTCCACGCCACTGGCTTTGAACCTCTTTGTCCAGGTGATCAGGACAGCCTGCGAAGGACAGCGGAAGGTGGGACAGGGCAGGAGCCTCGTGCACCCAGACCCTGGGGACTGCTCCGGGACACGGAGGAAGCAGAGGCCCACGGGGATCACACCAGGGGACACAGCCATCTCTCGTTTGCCCCACAATGGGTTTCTCGGGAGGCCACCGTATGGGAAAAAAATGGGCTCAAAATCTCCAGTTCACACCAAAATAAAGTCTAACCCTAACCTGAACAGGCCTGCCACAGCACACACAAATCTAACCGGATGTCAGCTCTGCAGCCAGACCCCCATCTAAAAAAGAGCAAAGAAACCCCATAGCTTCCACAGCTCCAAGGAAAGAAAGCCAAGGCCATATGATAAAGAAGCAAAACGCTAAGAGAATCCTCGGCTCTTAAGCTTATGAGCCGGACTCTAGAACTTAAAACCCCACTTGTAGACAGGAGCAGTAGTGCATGCTTATAATCCCAGCTTCTGTAGAGGCCAAGGCAGGAAAATCTGAAGTTCAAACCTAGTCTGGGCAACTCAGGAACACACTGTATCAAAAATTAAAAGGAAAAAAAAAAACAACAAAAAACTTAGAGGCTAATGGGGTAGCTCAGCAGTCCCTGGATTTAATCTCCAGTATCACATACACAAGGATTTTTGTAAGCAGCGATCCATTCCTGTTTGCATATTAATGGAAAAACATCAAGAAAGATAGACCTTGCTGGCTGAAGTCACGCACATTGGACGCTGTACCAGGTAGGGTGAGCCCTTGGGTAGTTGGTGATTCTTTGCTCAGGAGCAATTATGCCTACGCCTGGCATGGTAAAAGCCCCTGGACACCTTCCTTCCCCTCGAACTTCACCCCAAAAAGCCTCAGAGAAAATGGTGTGGGAAGAATGTGGGCTCAGGGATCACGAGACTTAGTCTTTTTTTCCAACCTCCTGCCCATCTGCTTGAGGAATGCTCCCTTCTCCTTGGTGAGGTCTGCTCTGCTCATCTAGAATAAGGAGGCAGGTCTGGATCTGGCCAGTCCTGGAGTCCCAGCCTCTTGGCCAGGTAAGGGACTGGAACACACTGGCTCTCTAGGCAGCCTGGCAGAGCCCCGGAAGCCTTCTCAGAGGGGTTTTGGGGCTGGCAGGGGGCCTTACCTCTGGCTCCTCAGCCACAATACCCGCTTCCCCACACATCTGTTCCTGTGCAGGCTCTCACGGTATTCATGTGTCCGCACACACGTGCATGTGTGTGCATGTGAATGCGTGTGTGTATTTCTATCTCTCCACATATAAAAGGCCCAAGATGTCTCTATTTCTGTTGGATGCTTGCAGCCCTCTGAGGCAGAGCACCCACATATGGTAAGCCTGAGTGCGTGCTGAACGGATAAACAAATGACAAACAGGAAGGTGGGAGTGACGAGTCACCCGGGAGGAGCAACAAAGGAATCCAGGGCCTCTCTGGGGCTGGACTGGCCAGGCTCTTCCGGTAACCAGGGTGGCTTCCAGGCAAATGCTCCAGGTCCAACTCTGACAACGCACTTTCCCTCCTCACTCCATTTCCTGGGGCCTGGTTTCTTTCCCTTCACTTGCTTGAGTTTATTAATAAATAGTTCTCTCTACCTGGTGGCCACAAATACCATGATGTGTCTCCAAAACAAAGTAACGGAGTAAACATTACATTAGTCCTCACATTAATTTTTGCAAATATTTGTGGGTTTTTTCCCTCTAATTTTTGAGATACGGTCTCACTATATAAGTTCCCTGGCCTTGAACCTGTGTCAATCCTCCTGCCTCAGCCTCCTGAGTGCTGGCATTATAGGCACATGCCACCACACCCACCAATTCCTGCAAATATTTCTAAAAATTCTAGACCATCAGCTGTCCTGTGAGCAAAAGAGGAAAGTGGTCAAGAGCAAAAGGTCATCACAGAACCCAATCACCCCAGAACATCCTTACCTCATCTATTTTGGATTGCCGGCAAGGGAAGGAAAACGTGAAGCCCACAGGCAGATTCTTGTCTTTGATCTCCCTTTTGTCCATGAATTCCCCCAGGCACTCAGCAACATGATCAAAAAGCTGAAAGAAACATCAGTGAGCAGGTAGGTGGCACAAAAGGGACTTGGCATTGGGGGGGGTCACCGATTTCCTCCCATACACTCTTGGAGGGGTGATGTCACAAAGGGCCCCTTGAGGGCCAGCACAGCTCTTAGGAAGGACCTCAAACTCAGAAGAAGGAACTGGCTTCACAGCAGGTACGCACACGTGTCACTTGGGGAGCTGAGGACATTTAGAAATGACAGGAAATCAGGTTGTCCTTCCACAACCCACTGGCCACGTGCCTCTGACAGTCCTGGGAGGAGTGGCCTTCACACGGACCACCTGTGAATCTCAGGGACTCCACAGCAACTCCGTGCCTCTAGCTGGAGAGACAAAGCAACCTTCAGAGCACTTTTTACCCAAGGGTGGCACGCAGAATGACAAAGTGCACACACCCTAAGTACAGAGGTCCCCAGGTTCCCTCGGGCAGCACATACCCACGTTACCAGCACCCACATCGAGACACACAACGTGGGGCCGGAGGGTAGCCCAGCAGTAGAGCGTGCTTAGCACACACACGCAAATGCCCGGGATTTGACACCCAGCATCAACAACAGAACACCCAGATGCCACCCTCGTGCTCCTGCGGTTCCCCCTCTGCCACTCTGGCTTCGAGCACTTCGGTCAGCTTGGCCTGTCTACTGGCCATAAGCAGAAGGCGGGCAGGTGTGCTCTACTTTTGTGCACGAGCATCATCCCTGCCGTCGTGTGCCTTGGAGGCTGTGCATTCTCACAACTGCAGTTTCCTGCGCCTGCTCCGCCGTTACATTAGAACCCACCAGGTAAAGTCCACAGCGTTGCTTCTCAGGCTCCTGCCTGCATTCCGCTAGTAACGAGAGGCTCAGCACCGCTCAGGTAAACTTTTTAGATCTTTCTAACAATTCCTCTCATTTCTAAAATGGAACTAGAACTGCTGTAATAATATTTCAAACGGAAGAGAGCTTAGAAAAACCAAGAATCTCATTTTCTTTGGCCTTCTACCTCTGTTCGTGCAACCTGGGCAGCCATGCCAGGCTAGGCAACTCTCGTCCATCTTACATTCCTGTTGTGACACCAGACCTCCTTCTCTATGGGATTAACAGGCCACAGAGCTTACTGTGCTGAAAGGGCCACGCCACACAGTGACAGGAAGTGGCTCCACCCAAGCTGCCCGAAGGGGTTCTTTGATTTAGGGGCCTCTGTCCCAGAGCTGCAGTCATTCAGACTGGCTGCAGGCGCAGGTGCTGACTGAGGAGATGCATGACTGCCTCCCTGGAGAAGCCAGGCTAAGCTGGCTGTGACCTATATTTCAGACTGATATAAACTCATTACCAAGTCAGTCCTCTGCCCTATGCCATCTGCACTCAGAAGCTACAAACGCCCAACGCAGGTGGAGGAAGGGAGAAAGGAAGGAAGGAGGGAGGAAGGGAAGGAGGGAGGGAGGTGCTCAGGAGCATCAGGCTGTAGAAATGACACACAGGGACTCACAGGAACAGGACAGGCAGGCACCCAGTGCCCCAGCCAAGCAAGCGCAAGTCCCCCATCACTCCACTGGGAAGCCACCCCAGATCAGCCCTATCCGCAATCAGCCAGGACAGAAGTGGCCCAGCTCCTCTACACTCCACAGTTCAGTGTCTAGAAAAACATCCATGTTTTAAAAAATTCCCAACAATACGCTTCTTATTTTAAAAATACACACAGAGACTTGGACCCTCCAACTGAGAAGGGCAAGCAGCAGCTAAAACAAAAACTTAAATATGTTAGTCAAAATTCCCCAAACTAAGCAAGTGATGCTCTAAGAATGTTACATTTGTGCTTCTGAAATTATGAAAGCTTAAAATTTCACAGAGGCTTCTGAGATGCCATGCGGGTGAGGTGTGGGCAGTCTGAATGAAGGGGGACCAGGCGCTCCTTGAACTTACCTTAGAACTTTTCTATACATTGAACGGCATTTCAAATAAAAGGCTTAAGAAATTTTTAGATCTCCCACCTATCATCCCAGAGGAGGAGAATCGCCTACGACCACAACCCTACAAATTCACCACTGTTCAGTCTAGGAGTCTGAGCAGCTCCACAGCAAGGTGAGGACCTCTCTGCCCCGATCAGCAAGAGACCTGGGAAAGGCGGACCACGCCGTACTGATGTTAGTAACACCAGACTTCCCAAGAGGCTCCCGCTTCCCCTCTGTGCTGCCTCCTTCAAGACCCTCACATTCTCTCACCATCAAAAATTTAAAAATGAAAATGAAAATTAAAAAAAAAACTTGCCTCAGAGTCCCTAGTTGCTGAAACTAATTTCTGAATTGGACTGCTCAGTTCAAATCCTAGTAGTTATTAAACAGCTGAGCTTCAATTTTGCCATCTGTAATATGGGAACAATAATACCTATTGCATGGGGCTGCTGCGATGACAGTGAATCAATACATACAAGGTACTCACGCCAGGACAAGTACTGTGTCAGTATCTGCTCTAATGATACAACATTCTATCATCACCATCGCCATCAATCAATCTCTTCAGACTGCTTGAGAGGGGAAGAGGAAGAAACAGAGGTATCAGGAAACAAAGGGATCCTGAGACCAACTGGGGAAGATGGGGACAGAGTGGAAGAAGACAGTGGTAAGAAAGGTGTGGTGGAGGTGAGTGCAGGGAGTGTACACCTGGAGGAGGGCATCCCCTGGTCACAAACCCTCCACTAGAAGGTCAGGCCGAGAAGGGCAAAGGGGCACACACCTGCAACCTCGGCTCCTCAGCAGGCTGAAGCAGGAGAACTGCAAGTTCAAGGCCAGCCTGAGAAACTTAGCAAGATCCTGTCTCAGAAAACAATTTTTTTAAAGGGCTGGGGGTGTAGCTCAGTGGTAGAGTGCTTGCCTAGGATGTACAACAACCTGGGCTCGATCCTAATACCATACACACAGGGGCCAAGGCACATGAATGTTTGTATAGTGACAGTCTCAACAGTAAAGGCACCAGGCTTAGGTGGTTCAACCCAAGAACCAATGGGAACAGAGTGACAGCCAGTCCTTGTTGCCCATGGAAGTGGAATATGCTAAGCCCTGACCCAGCAGCCACCTGAGAGAAAGGAGCCACACGGTGGCTGGGGGGCCTGGTCAGGACACCGTGGGCAGCCTTACCACACCCTGACGAACGGGCTGGTGTCTGCACCCCAGCAAAAGAGGCAGGGACACCCACACACGACTCACCCCTGTCCCAGTACTGACAGTGGGATGGCTCACTGCACTGGCGAGGGTCCCCATCCGTGCTCACTGTGATGTGGTCTGAAAAGCTCCGAGCCCAAACCCCAGGGAGCAAGTTAGAGGCCAGGATTAGCCCTTGCCTCTCAGACACAGAAAGGACAGCTGTCTTGCTCCAGTCCCACCCACACTCGTTCTGGGTAAAGTAGAATCTGGAGGAGAAAGCTCCTGGGTCTCTTCTCCAAAGCCAGCCCAGAACTTAGTTGTAAATCTTTCAGTGAACACACCCTCCCTCCAGCAAGCATCTGGCAAGTCATGAACAAGCCCTGACTCAGGGACAAATACAACCTAGACACCATCCATCCACAGGACAGCAGCAGAGCACCCCACCTCACGGGCTCAGGGGACTCAGAGGTGATGAACCCGCCCAGGGAGACTCCTGACTTCCTGCTCATTGGGTCCTAGGGACCCGCAGCAACTGGATAGGCCTGCCCACAGCCCTCGGCCTCAGCAAGACGCATGAGGGAGTGGGCCTTTGCGTGGGCATGACAGGAGTGGACAGTGTTTTTCACAGCTCTCTCTCTGCCTGCTGCCCCGAGGGGGTGCAATGCTGTTAAACCAGGAACAAAGCATCTGCAGTTATCAGAGCCATGAGCCTGGCCTTTGGTGCGTGGGTGAATAGCTGTGAGGTGAGGTGCAGGAAGGGCCATGTCCACCCAAGGGCCGTGCTAAACCTCAGCAGGGGGACCAGGATCCCAAGGAAGGAGAGCAGTTACCCAGTGGAGCCACCGGGACCCTATCCCCACAGCCTCGCGCTGCCAAAGCCCAAACGCCCAGTCCAGTGTCACCAGTCTAGCCAGACACAGGCGCCTCTTCCAGCAGCTGGCCCAGCTCAGGCTGCCACACCCTTCTGCCCATGACTCCAGGTGCACACGTGCCGGGGCCTCGCCTCAGACCCCTGCCAGGAGCTTGGGCCCCAGGGCTTGTGAGTCCAGTGGCAGGCAGTAGCCCAGGGAACACTGGCCCAGTGGCGCTGACTGAAGAACACGGGACCCACCTGGCTTCCGCTGCCGTGGACAATGTTCTCCGGGATGGCGTACGCCTCGGACTCCATGTGCACATTCTGCTTCTTCTCATGATTCACTTGCACCCGCAGGATTCGAAAGGAAGACCCACCAAGGTCCAGGGCAATGAAATCTCCCTTTTCTGTTTAGGAGACAACAGTGTCACATCAGAGGCCAGTGCTGGAAGGCCATGTGCCATGCCTGCCCTCTGCGCCCAGTCTCGTCTGCCCCACCACCACCACCACACACGGTGCCCGCAGGGGCAAGTGCGACTTGAGTAGCCTCAGCCAAGCACTGCGCATGACAAGTAGGCAAAAGGAGGCCACCTCAGCCCCAGGGCCTCAGGAAGAAAGGGATTCAAGCCATCCCTGTCTCACTTCCAACTGCAGAGGAATGGAAAAACTTCCAGCCCATCTTTCTCTAACTACTCCATCTCAAAAACAGCACAAACGACACAGCACTTCAACTCAGACAGTGATTCATGGCGTGCCCTGGACTCCTCCCATGTTGGCTCGGGCACCTCTCTCTGCCAGGGCTGTGCACCATTTTCCAGTGTACAGTTCATGGCCACAAGAGAAACCCTGTAACCATGAGGCAGTCTTTCCCCAGGCCCTTCCTACCCAGGTCCTGGTTATCTCAATTCTATTTTATCTCTAAAGTTTGCTTAGTCAATAAGCTCTTATAAGTAGAGTCTTAGACTTTCTGTGACTGGTTTCTTTCCATAACACAACTTCAAGGTTCATCCATGTTGTGACCTGTGTCATTAGGCCAGGGTGACAGCTGCTCTTGCCTCCCTGAGTCTCAATGGCCCACCAAGCCCTCAATCTTGTGGCAGTCAACACCAGAGTGCTTGGGACAATCTTAATTTTCAGAAGGATCTTTATTACTATATTTTATATGACAGCATTTTTTTCACCAAAATTATAAATTTGAAAAAATTTTACTAGTACGCGTTTGTAGTACATACTGTTCACATTCTTTGTGTGGAGTTGGTACACGTAAGAACATCTTAATTCTTTTTTTATGCTCTTCTCCTTTCCTACTTACCCTCTTCCTCTATGTCTTGATTCCCTTCTCCTTCAAGAAGAATCAATCCCCCTACTTCCTATTATCACTCTTTTACTTTGCTCTTTCTTCATATTTTGGGTTTCTCAGGTAAGAGAAACTGTGAGATATTTAAGCTTGATTTATTCCACTTAACATTATGGTCTCAACCATTTTCCTACAAGTAACTTAAGTTTATCTCTCTTTATGGCAACATAGAACATGGGATCAAATCAAATTAAAAAGCTTCTGCACAGCAAAAGAAACAACCAATAGAGTGAAGATTCAACCTTCAGAATGCAAAAAAGAATTTGCTAGCTATTCCTCAGAGGACTAACATCTAGGATATATAAAGAATACAAAAATACAACAACCCTCCCTCACAAAATAAAACACCCAGTCAAAAACTGGACAAATAAAAAGAATGGATGCTTCACAGAACAAGAACTCAAGGGGCCAATAAATATACAACAGCATTTTTGGGTTGTTGTTGTTGTTGTTGTTTTTGAGGCAATTATGTGGTTCAGACTGACCTGGAACTCACTATGTAGCCCAGGCTGGTCTTGGAACTCACAGCGATCCTCCTGCCTCAGCCCCAGAGTGCTGGGATTACAGGTAGTATGCCACCACGCCTGGCTTTTACAACAGCATTTCTGAAATGTATTTCACACAATTCAACTATTTGAAGCATACAACTCAATAGCTTTTAGTATATTCAATTATGCAACCACCACCATAAGCAGCCTTAGAACATCTGCATCATCTCAAAAAGAAATTCACCAGGGCTGGGGTTTTAGTTCAGTGGTGGCACCATGCCTGCCTTAAAAGTGCAAGGTCCTGAGTTTGATCCCAGTACCACCAAAGAAAAAAACTCCAATGCCTTTCCCCACCCCATTCCCTCTCCTCCCTCCATCTGGTCTCTACAGATTTCACTATCCTGGACCCTTCACATAAATGGAATCACACCATATGTGGCCTTTTGTGATTGGCTTCTTTCGATTAGAAAAACATTTTAAATTTAAAGTTCTTCTGGGCTGCGTTACATGTCAGTATTCTGCTCCTTTTTGTGGCCAAATAACGTCCCACTCTCTGGACACTGCACCTCTCACTTACTCATCTGAGGGGCACAGGCTGCCTCCACCTTTCAGCTACTCTGAACAGTGCTTCCAGGAAGACTGGTGCACAGATTTCTGAGTGGACGTTTTTGTTTCCCTTGGGTGTGTGCAGTGGCTGGCAGCAGAACCATGTTTAACTTCTAGAGGAACTGTTACTGTTTTCAAAACCAGCTGCTTCATTTTCCATCCCCAGGTTACGACGTTCCCAACTTCTCCACATCTTCAGCAACACTTGAGACAGTCTTTTTTTATTTGGATTTGGGTTTCCCTGATGACCTTTTTCATCTTCAATTTTTACTTTTTATTAGCATTTCTGCAGTACACAATGATCATACTACTCCTGGGGCTACCTTTGCACATGCTTACTGGCCATTTCCGGATCTTCTTTTGAGATATGTCTATTCACATTTTTTGCCTACTTTTAAAATTGAGTTGTCTTTTTAGTGTCAAGTTGTAAGAATTCTTTTAAATGTTCTAAATATATGTAATTCCAGTACTCAAGAGACTGAGACAGGAGGATCTCTGTGAGTTCAAGGTCAGCCTGGGCTACACTGAGTCAAGGCCAGTCGGAACTACATTGTATACTGTATCAAAAAGACAAAGCTAATAAATAAATGAATGTATGTATATATGTATGTTCTAGATTTAAGTTCCTCAACAAATATATGACTCACCCATTCTGTAGGTGGTGTGTGTGTGTGGGTGTGTATGTTTTGTACCAGGGATTGAACTCAGGACCTTACATTTTCGAGGCAGGCGCAGTGCCACTGAATTAAATCCCCAGCCCTGGTAGTGTCCTTCTTTAATATATATGATAGGTTTTATTATTCCCATTTATGAAAGAAGTATTTGTTTTGCTTTACTAAGAGACTCTAATTTTCAATAGTGTCCTTTAAAGCACAAAAGGTTTTAATTTTGATGAAGTGCAATTTATCTTTTTATTTCTTGTTTGTACTAAGAATTTATTGCCAAATTCAAGGTCACAAAGCTTCACACCTATATTTTCTTTTCAGAGTTTTATAAATTTTGGCTCTTACATTTAGGTTTTGTTTGCTGTTCGTTTGCTTTTGGTTTTTTGAGATAAAGTCTTGCTATGTAGCCCAGGCTGGCCTTGAACTTGTGATCCTGCCTCAGCCTCCTGATTACTGGGATTATAGGTGTGCACAACCATGCCTGGCATATTTAGGCCCATGGTCCATTTTTAGTCAGTTTTTTAACAGGCAAGGTCAGGGACCAGCTTCAGTCTCTTCCAAGTGGACATTCAGTGTCCTGGCACTTTGGGCTAAAGACTCCTATTTCCCTCATTGAATATAGTCTTGGCACCCTTGTCAAAAAAATAAATAAATAAAAATAAAATCATCATCATCATCATCATCAACTGGCCAGGGGCCGGGGATTTAGCTCACTGGTTCTGCCACCTGCCTCACAAGCACAAGGTCCCGAATTTGATCCCTGGTACCAAAAAAAAAAAAAAAATCAACTGACCACAAATGTGTAAGTTTGTTTCTCAGTTCAGTTCCACTAATCTAGATGTCTACCCTTCTTCCAGCACCACACACAGCCCCAACTTTGTTATTTATAGTAAATTTTGAAATCAGGAAGCAAAAGTTCTCTTTGTTCTTTTTAAGATTGTGTTTGGCTAGTATGAGTCCCTTAAGCTTTTATTTAAAAAAAAATAGATTCTTCCTTTTTTTTTTTTTTTTTTTAATTTCTCTCTTCTACAACTGGCATATCCTTGTATTTGATTCCACTAAGCTGTAAGCTCTGACACACCCTGTAACACCGGAACTGGGAAGGGTATTCGCCTTATAGTACAATACAAACTTTGTATTATAGCTCAATACAAACTTGCTGAGCTAACGAATGAACAAACCAAAGAACTGCACTGATTTCATTCTTCTCTCTCGAGTTCTTTAAGGGAAGAACTATAACTTAGGACTCTTTGTATTTGCCCTTAGCATCCAGGACAACTCAATAAATGAGTAACAGGGATCTGTAGCCCATTCATTCATTCATTCATTACTCCACGCAACTCTGCTTGTTCACAGAGCACAAAGCACTTATGCCATTGGCTGGATTTATAAGTAACAATTGTATTGAAAGTGAATTCACATACCCTACAATCCACCCATTTTAAAGTGGACAGTGCAGTGGTTTTCAGTATATTTACAGAGCTAGGCACAGTAATATTTAATTTTAGAAACCTTGGGCTCATTAGGAGTCATTCCCTATTTTTCTCCCAACCTCCCCCATCCCCCATAACCACTTCTCTACTTTTGCTGTCTGCAGATTTCCTCTTTTAGTCATCTCATATACATGGAATCACACAACAGGTCAGCCTGGCTCTCTTCATTTAGCATACTGCATTCAAAGTTTGGCCATGCTGTGGCATATATATCAGTATTTCATTGCAATACATTTTATACAGAGATATCACATCATGCTACTGGTTTAACTGTTTCTATGTTCCAAAGGAAACAGGCCAAGCGAGAATGCTGGAAGGCAGCTATCATAGATTTATGGAGAATTCTGATCAGTTTATAGAGTCTTTTCTCTGATGTCCCATTAGAATACTAACCTCATGGTTCTTTATTATCACTGCCAGGTTAAGAATCTGAACTTAGCTAGGCATGGTGGCACTATAATCCCAGCACTCAGGAGGCTGAGGCAGGAGGATCACCACAAGTGCAAGGCCAGCCTGGGCTACATAGTGAGACCCTTCCTAAAAAAAAAAAGAACATGAACTTAGAGCTGGGCATTGTGGTGCACACCTATAATATGAGCACTCCAGAAGCCTGAGGATCATTACAAGTTCATGGCCATTCTGGGCTACACAGTGAGCTCAAAGTCAGTCTGGACTACATATTGAGACTGTCTCAACCCTCCAAATCTAAACTTAGAATTACGTGGTTCCTCTCAGGTAGGTGAGACACTAGAATATAAAAAACACTACATTTTAGTGTTTACTATATCAGCTAATGCT